TAAAAATTTTTCTGCTTTGTTTAAAAAATAGCAATGACACAATTTGAGGTAAATAATTTTTTCCTTTTGAATTCACTTCACAAATCATTTTTGCCATGTGAAGAGGTTTTAGTCATATGAGTGGTTGCCATCCTTTCGGTCATTGTTTAGTCAGACACTAATAACAGGTGAAGTACATTTCCATAACCTGATTAAAAAAGAAAAAAAAAACTAACTCATACTCTTTTAAATGTAATTTCTCTTACATAAACGCTATTTAAGATATACAATGGCTGCTGATAATAGTCTCAATTTAAGTGAAAAGAATTCTTCTCCTTCCAAAAAAAAAATTAAAAAAAAATCAAAAAAAATCTGATGATTGGTCAGATTTTCAGAAGTGAGTTGTACTGAGAAAATCCAACACCCCAGTGTGTGTGTGCACACATAATAGATTACCTGTACTATCAAGATAAGAAAAAAATACATATGCATTTTTTGGTTTATATTCAATACTTTTTGAATTTTGAAGTAAAACAAAATTAAGTAAAGTTAACAATTGATTCTTGGCCTTCTTTCCATTCTATAAACGAACAAAATAATGACAAAGGAAACTAATTGTGTGTGTATGCATATATATATGTGTGTGTATATATATATATATATATATATATATATATATATATATATATATATATAATTTATATAAATAAATAAAAGGAAGATGTTATAGTAGTTCCAACAAGAGAAAAGTGTGTATATTAAAAAGAAGAGAGATACTGCAAACATTTTTTGGTTGTAATGTGGATTCTTTTTCAAAAAATATTATACTTTATTTTCTATAATTATACTACACGTGTTTCTGGTCTCGTGACTGTCTTCAGGTAGAAGGCGGAGATTTCCACATATTATTAAAAATAATTAATTTTTTTCTCCTTTGTTTTTTTGGTGTTAAATATTCTCGATATTTTTTGTGTTAGTAATCCGAATGTCTTTCTTGAATTGCCAACTATCTGCCAGTTCAAGAAACACATAATATTAAAAAAAAATAATCCACATTGTTTGCAGTATCTCTCTTCTTTTTAATATATATATATATATATATATATATAATAAAATGGATAAATGTACAAGCAAGTATTTGTATACAAATACTTATATATACCTGACCATTTACAGGCAGTATGAAACAAAGTTGTGCAATCAATCAATGTAGGGTACTTTATATATATATAAAGCACTTTGTCCCAAGCAAGGCAGGGGTGCCACTAGCATGCAAGGGGTTACAGAGAGTGAAAGTAAGAGTTAAGAGGGGTGTTTAAAGGATAAAGAGAAGGATAGGGATCAAGGAATCAGAAGCTGTTGATTGACATTACATTTCAGTGTTTGAAGATTATAGTTATCAGGGAAGCAAGTATGAGGAAGGGAGTTCCACTGTTGGGAAGTGTGAGAGAAAAAGCTGTTGGAGTGGAAGAGGCAGTTACATTTAACTGTTTCGATAGTAATAGTGTAGGACTGAGATACCAACTTAGTAGCATGTTTAAATTCATGCATTTGGGAAAGTGAAAAAAGCTTGTCAGGGCAGTTGCCAGGAAAATATTTGTAGAAAAGACAGAGGGAAATCATATCATGTCTGTGAGAAAGTGACTGGAGTAAAGATTCCAGGTCAAGACCTATCACATTGCATATGAGTCTTTGGATTTTGTTGAGAACCACGAGATTAACAGCAAGGGCACCAGACCATATATGGCAACAGTATTCAATGAAAGGACGAATGGTAGATTTGAAGGATGGACTCAAATGAGAAAAACATTCTGGCATGACAGAGAACCAACTTTCCTTGCAGTAGATTTAGCTATTGATTCAATATAGTTGTTCTGCCTCAGGTCAGTGGAAAACATGAGACCAAGAAGGCACAGAGAGACACTCCTATGAAGTTGGGCATCAGCCATGCTGATATTTTATTGAGTTCTCTCAGTCACTGTGTGTTTATCTAAAAATAAATACGCTTAAATTCACCTTCATTCCTGCCATGTGCCAACGGCTTAGTGGTAGAATCCCTGACTGACGCCAGTTCAGTAGGGTTTCAATCCTAGCTAGAGGCAACACTGATGAGCTGTGATACAAGAAGCAGTCTGTCTGTGGATGACATATATATATATATATATATATATATATATATATATATATTTGCACCTTTTTAATAATTAGTCCATTTTATAATATATATATATAAATTGACCAAGTGGTTAGTAAGTTTGCTTTCTGACCATAACAGCAGGTTTTAGATTATTTTGTATTAAGTCTTTTATTGTTTTGTAACAAATTTTATGTTAAACTTAGGTGAAATCTTTTAAGTTATAGTTGTGACCAAGTTGATATATTATTATATAATTTGTCTGATGCTTCTGCTATGTATTTAGAGATACTTGATAAAATACAAAGAATATTTCTCACTATGTAGATTCATGTTGTGTTACCTGTGTATCAGCTCCAATATATTATTTGCCTGTGTGTCAGCTCTGGCATTTTGTCGTGCTTGCATGTTGGCTTCTGCATGTTATTTTGCCCTCAATTCAATTCCCATATGTTGTTACTCCTGCAAGTTGATTTCCATGTGTTGTTACTCCTATGAGTTGGCTCCCATGAGTTGCTGCTCCTGCGAGTCACATCCCATATGTTTTGTCAATGTGTCTGTGTGCCCTTTTGCCTGTGTGTCAGCTCCCACATGTCCTTTTGCCTGCATGTTGCCTGTGTGTTGGCTCCCACGTGTCCCTTCACCTGTGTGTTGGCTCCCACGTGTCCCTTCACCTGTGTGTTGGCTCCCACGTGTCCCTTCACCTGTGTGTTGGCTCCCACGTGTCCCTTCACCTGTGTGTTGGCTCCCACGTGTCCCTTCACCTGTGTGTTGGCTCCCACGTGTCCCTTCACCTGTGTGTTGGCTCCCACGTGTCCCTTCACCTGCAAGTCTTCTCCTACCTGTTATTTCATTGTGGGTCTGCTCCCACGTGTCATTTCACATTCATGTTGGCTCCCACGTGTCATTTTACCCTTATGTTGTTTCATATAATATTTTTGAATGGACTTTTGTAATTTTTAAATTGCTCTTAGTATTTTCTTGTTTATATTTCAGAACGTTACTTAGATATGATTTTGTATACAGATACCCTCATATTTCAAAGACCAATGCTTTTTCTAAATACTTATATTAGCAGTTGTTTTTCTCTAACCAAAATAAATCTTACAAGGATTGGTATTTGTTCAGAATTTTCTTGGCAGCAATCTGTTATAAATATAATATACTGAGCAATGGTAGTGGCACTGCCAACTTCCTTTTTCAGGAACTATACCCACCATCTTGGTATCAAGCTGCCATAGCTTTTGAGCTGTTTGTGAGCTTTTTTTTATCCTGAGTTATGTTGTATAATTGTTAATAAGATATAAAAGCTTAAGTGAGTTCATAAGGATGTTAGTGTAAAACTGAATGTAATTACTCTGCAGTGCCTAGTAGATGAGGTTGGGGTGGGGCATTTATTTTTTATGTTTTTTTTTTAATTTTTGTTTTTTGATATTTCTGTGTTTTTAATTTTGTTTTTGATATTTTGTGTTTTTTTAATTTTGTTTTTTGATATTTTTGTGTTTTTTTATTTTATGTTGTTTGATATTTTTGTGTTTTTTTATTTTATGTTTTTTGATATTTTTGTGTTTTTTATTTTTGTTTTTTGATATTTTTATGTTTTTTGATATTTTTGTGTTTTTTTATTTTTATTGTTTTTTGATATTTTTGTTTTTTTATTGTTTTTTGATATTTTTGTGTTTTTATTTTTATGTTTTTTGATATTTTTGTGTTTTTTTATTTTTATGTTTTTTGATATTTTTGTTTTTTTTATTTTTATGTTTTTTGATATTTTTGTGTTTTTTATTTTTATGTTTTTTGATATTTTTGTGATCTTTTAATTTTGTTTTTTGATATTGTTTTTTTATTTTTATGTTTTTTTATATTTTCGTGTTTTTTTTTTTATTTTTATATTTTTTTTGATATTTTTGCGTTTTTTTTTATTATTGTTTTGCTTTTTCTATTTCTGTGCTTGAGGACATTATATGACACCACACCATTGATTCATTTTGTCTTTTTGACTGTTAATTGATTTCTGATCTCACTTTTATTAAGACTCCCCAACCCCCACTCTTTATTGAATACTGAGAAAAATTCTAATCTATATAATTATTGACCCCTACACCCATTAGGCATCTAAGAATAAGCATTTTGGTTGAAGAGGAGAAAATGTTTTCCCATGTAAAACAATAGTAGTTCTTACTTAAGTTTACATCATTTCAACTTATAAAAAATTTCACAGGAATGCTTTACTTTTAAACATCAGGGGAACAGGCATTGGATGCAATATATCCAGCTTATTTTTTTTGTAAACGTAACTGCAAATAAAGTTTAGAAGTAGTTCTTTTCTATAAATGTATTTTATAAGCAACTTAGGATTTTGACCACTATTCAGATTGCTTAAATTTCTTTATACTTGGGTGTAATTAATACAAAATAAGACATATAACTGTAATTAAACTAGTAGGATTGAAAATTCTTGAATACAGTATAAAATAACATATTTAGTCATTTGTTCTAATTGAATAGTGTCAGTTTTATGCCATAAGAGATCATTAGATCACAATTTTTGACAAAACAAAATATTACCAGCAATAAAAATTTTTGTTGGCATTAAATAACCCATTGACGTTGATATGCTGTAATACAAAATAAACTAAATAAACCAAACCTTCACTCTCACTAACCACTTACATAATTGCTTTCCTTGGGATGAAATGATTAAAAATATTGTAATATATAATCATTTATGTGGCTAAATTTGAATGACAAAATGTAAAAAATCTAATGTTATGCATTTCATATTGTATCAATAACAAGGGACAATCTTGATTCCATTTTCTCTGCTGTTGACCACTAGCCAAACCTACTGGTCATGAAAAAATAATATTTTTATTTTAAATTTCAGGTTAGAGATTTCAACTTAGGAACAAGGTTTCCAACTTTCAATTCAGTGGTTGTTAAAAGTGAAGTTAAAGATGCATCTCTGGAGGTAAGCTAAAAGGTTATTTGATAATTTACTAGGGAAAAAAATCTGATATGAGCTTGATATGATGTTCACATGAAGATGAAAGAAACATGATCTGACTTGGGTTTGATATAATGATCGCATGAATGGGATATTAACTTGGCCTTATATGATAACAGGAAAAGGATATGATCTGACATAGCCTTATATAATGATCGCATGAATGGGATATGATCTAATTTTGTTTTATATGATGATGGTATCAATCAGATATGATCTGACCTGGCCTTATATGATGATTGCAGGAAAGAGATACAGTCTGGTGGCCTTATACGATGAAACAGGAAAGGGATATGATCTGACTGCATTATATAATGATCATATGAAATGGATACAGTCTGACTTGGTCTTGTATGATGATCCCATGAAAGGGATATCATCTTTGGCCTTATGTGATGATCACATCAAAATGAAAGTGATATGATTTGATTTTGGATTGATATTATGATCACATGAAAGGGATACAATCTGACAACCTTATATAACATGAAAAGGATATGATCTGACTTGGCCTTATATGATGATTAGATGAGAGGAATACTATCTGATTATGATAATCTTATATGATAATCACATTGAACCAACTTTCCTAGTAGTAGACCTAACAACTGATTCAATATAATCACTCCTCTTCATGTTGGTGGAAAGCATGAAACCAAGAAGTTACAAAGAGTTGCTCTCCTGGAGGTTAGCATTAGCCATGCTGATGGAAGGCAAAAAAGGTTCTCCGTGATTAATATAATTGTATACTAATTATACTGGCTGCAAATACATTTTTGACTAAAGATTTTGACTTACAATTTACATGTTTTCAGTAATCAACTCAAAGAAATGTTTAAGTTAAAAATGTTGCATTTTAGAATTAAAATAGTATGAAGGAGTGATGAAAAGTTCTCAGTTCCAACCAGTTCTCAAAATCTGACCAAATGACTGATCAAAATTTTTTTAAAATCATTTTTTGTTGGTTTAAGAATTTTTCACCTTATATGATCACAGAAAATGTATACCAACAGACATGGCTAATATAATCACATGAAATCTTTGGTCTTATGTGATGATCACATGAAAATGAAAGTGATCTGATATATGTTATGACCACATGAAAATGAAAGCGATATGATCTGATTTGGGCATGATATGGTGATTACATGAAAATGCAAGTGATATGATCTGATTTGGGTTTGATATTGTAACCAAATGAAAGGAATACAATCTGATTTGGCCTTATATGATGATCGCAGGAATGGGGTATGATCTGACTTGACTTTGTATGATGATTGCATGAAATTGAGATGATCTGACCTAGCCTTATAGGATATAATGTAATAATGTAATATGATCTGATTTGGCATTGATATGATCACATGAAGAGAAGTGATTTGGTTTTAGACTTGTTATATATTCTTGTTAATGTAAGCTATAGTATGAGTAGACATTATATCATCATTAGTAGTAACAGCAATAAATTAATTCTTGAAATATTAATGTGATTATCTTAATTGAGCAAACAACAGATTTTCTAATAGTATGTCAAGCAGAATGTATTTTCATTATTTCATTTATAAATCATTAAAACAGTAATTTATGTTATAATTTTTTAGAAGAATTATTGTTATACTTATTTCTATTTACACCAGCGGTTGTCAAGCTTTTTGAAGTTGGGGAGCACTTGAAATCCTACCAATAATTGTAGGCACACTATATACAAATTTCAGAAAAATGTTATAATGAAGTCAAATATTGCAGAAAAGAAATAATGCAATACAAAAATGTAAAATGAAACATGCCTTAAGTTTATTAATTCTTGTTTATGAGAAGGATAAGCCTGGTGAGTCTTAGCAATTTCTTCAATGTTTGGGTATATATTTGATAGGCAAACTCTCATTTTCTCATCAATACATTGAAGAGTTCCTTTCTTTTTGCACTTAATTGTGGTGTGAACATAAATATGAATGTGATGGATACCACAATATAATAAAGTAAATATATTTATTTCTTATATCTGGACAAATATTTCTCTGGAAGATGCACCAATGTGTGCAGTGGCACCATTTGAGAACCACTGATTTAGACCATTATACTCCTGACACTTTTACTTTCTAGCCTCCTAGCATCTATATTACTCTGTAACCTCCTTTGAATTTTGAAATGAATCACTTAACCAATTTCTGGAGATAGATTATTTTCATTCCAATTTCCATGCATGGGAAATTATTAAATTAACACCTAGAAATCATTGTTTGGATTTAATATGAAAGGTCTCAAGCACTTCTGTGGTAGTCTGAATGTGCCAAGCTGATGACTTTTGCCAGATATTTTTTATCGTTTATCATCAGGGGACATTCAAACTACTATTTGAATGTGCTTGAGATCCTATATATGAAATCTAAGTAGACTTTCCCTCTATAAGGAAAATGAATGGTTGGTGGATTCTTAATGTAATCTGTGTCTGAGCTATAATTTCAGTTTATTTTACTTAAAGTCATAGCAATAAAAAGTTTGTATCAGTAGTCAGGATTTTATAAGTGCAGAATTTTAATTACTGTCATCTTATTTTTTGTCTAAATTGCAAAATCATGTTTTTTTTGTTGTTTTTTTTCTTGCTATGGGCAGGACAGCAAAAAATAATAAACTGAATAGAAAAACATAAGATAATTAGATTATGCAGCACTGCTTAAATATAGTGGTTTACTCATAAAAAATAGAATAAATTTTTGGGAAATAATTTCAATAGATTAGCATTCTCCTTAGACTTTGACATTTGTTAGAATCAAAAAATATTGATTTTAAAAAACTTTTATTCATCATTTTTGAAGGTGGGGATCCTGTTCATAATATTGATATAGTATAAAATCAATCCCTGACTTTTTATAGAATTATTGGAATTAAATCTGTTTTTGAATGGAGAACAGGGTTTTTTTTATTTTTTTACAGAAAGATTTCTTTTAAATAAAGAAGAAACGTGTATATATATATATATATATATATATATACATTTTCAATTAAAGAACAAAAATTTGCATAAATTAATAAAGGTATATATTCATTTGTTCTTTATCTAAGATAAATAATTATACCACAAATGTTTGTTAGTGTTCTGAAAAATTCCCTCCCAAAAAGATTTTTAAAAAAAACTCAGAAAATTAAAATAAAAAAAATTATGCAGATATCAATAACGTAAGTACGGTTTTAAACTCGACATTTGCAAATAACAAATATGTTCAATAAATAAGTCAGGGATCAATTTTTACAAGTCATCAATTTTATGAACATTCTCCCCTTCTAAATCAATAAATATCATCAATATTTTTTGCTTCTGACAAATGTTGTGGCTTGAGGGAGGTCTAATAAATGCTAATATACAAAAACGATTATCCTCCCTCGAAATTTTTCCTCACTTTTTTATGAGTGGACCACTCTATTTAACTAGTGCTGATGTATATATGCTTTGGCAAATTGGATTAATATTTAGAACAAAGAGTGTAGGATTTATGCTTCACCTAATAAGAAGTGTTTCTTAGGTCTGTGAGAGATAGTTTCATTCTGATATTTTATGCCCCATGCCATCCTATGTATTTTATAATGTTTGAACATTTACTCTCTTATTTGAACAAGTTGAATATCTTTTAGGAAGAATAAAATAGTATAAATTCCTTGTCTATTAAGTAAAACATTGATGCTAAATAATATTGGTGGTAGTCTAGGGAATCTAGTCATTATCATTCTTTGCATATATTAATATATTAAATAGTTTTTGATATATTTTATTTAATGTACAACAAAAAATTTAATGTCATTTACAGTAAAATTTCCATTAAGAGTTTAAAATTTTGGTTTTGAAGAATATAAGTATTGAATATTTATTTTAAATCATTGTCTAAATCTGCACATGAAGATACTGCTATAAAATAAATAAATTAAATATGTTATTTAAAAAATCTGCTAATCAATATCTTGGACAATAATTTGACATTCAGCTAATGGGTTTATTGATCTCTTTATTGATAAACTGTCATTGGTAATATTAGAATTATTAACAAAATGCTAGTTTTCATTTTAGTCTCAATGATGCCCAAAAGCAAATCATCTCAATGGAAATATATTTAATTTCATAAAGACTTATATAATCAAGGCCATAATTCATTTTTAGTGTCTTTTGTTTTATTTTCCTTTGTTAATATCAATTTGTCATAAGACAATAATGGTTTTCAGATTACTTAGAACATATAAGCTATTGCCTCTTTAGATTTTGTTTCTTAAGTAAGCTCTCTTTTAGTTAAAACTTGTAAATTGTATGCTCAATGGACCGTCAAAGCTGGCATGGACGTTTTCATCTCTTCTTGGTAATACCAGATGAAACCTCAATCTTCTCCTTGGTTGGCCATTATATCACACAGGATCTGCTATTTTCAGCTATACTAGTGTGATAGCTCTCGCCACAAGTGCCTATTTACTGCTGCTTGTAATAAATATAAACAAGTCCCCAAAGAAGCTAAATTTTTATTTGCTGAGAGAATGAGGAAAACAGAGACTCTATTCTTGACTCATCTGAAATATCCCTGCCTAACTTCCTACTTAGAACTGAGTCACTGTTGAATGATATGCATATAACCCCTTCTATGGTTTATGCTATAATCTTCAACCTAGGTCCCCATAAAGCATGTGAACTTGATGGTATCTCTGTAATAGTCATTAAGATGTACTCCCAAACTGGCTCCTGTTCTCTCTAAACTGTATAATAAATACCTTGATGCCTCCTGCTTTCCTGACTGCTGGAAGTCATCATCTGTTGTTCCAGTTTTTAAGAACTCTAGTGAACCATCTGACCTTTCCAACTATTGGCCTATTAGTCTCCTTCTTTATCATGCTCTAGATAAAAACAGTGAAGCCCAGGCTGTAGCATTGGACATCTTGAAAACCTTTGACAGGGTTTAGCATACATGCCTTCTCCACAAGCTGAAAGG